AGGATATTAAAACTGAGATACGTATTTGCAATTCCGAACTGGAAGAAGTGGAGAGGCAATTACAGTATGGAATATTGAACTTGAGATCTTCGTATTTATATGACTCCATTTATGGGGCCAATAAGTTTCCATANGAGTTTTATTAATTCATACGTATGTAAATCGGAGTAAGCTTTCTTAGCAATAATAATAATAATATTATTGAGAAATGTTCTATAAAAGTTCGTAATTAATTATGGCATATAATAATGCCATGTCTCATGCAAAAATTTAATTTCAAATGATATTAGATGTCTGGTTTGTGGAATAGCGATGGATTAGGAATTTCTGTGAGAAGGGGTTAGCTGGTCAAAACACCTTTGGTCATAAAAAAAATAAATGTGAGAAGGGGCACTATAAAATTTTTAACATTTAACCAACGTTAGATATAGCATAATTAATACTATAAAAATATCATATTAAAAAATTTATACTAAAAAGCATGCATTCTTAATTTTTTTTTTATTTTTTTTGTTCTAAGAAATTTAGACATATGAATAATTATTTTCAAGTGCCTAAGTAAGAAAGAAAAAATAATTAAGAAACTACAGTTGAAAACTAAATTATAATTATGAAGTAATCATTAAAATTCTTTAATAATGTTATTTCACTTATGATAATAGTTGAATGAGATAAAATGAAAAATAAAAGTCGAATTAGGGAATGATATAAAAAAATTCATTAAAATTATATAATATATTCAAAGGGAAATAAAAAAAAAATTAAAGGAATTAATTTTTTTTTTTTTTCTAGAGAGGGGCACAATGTAATGAACTAAGAATATCAATGGGTTTTAATGAGTTTTAAATTTTCAAAGGGGGCCTGTGCCCCCCCAAGTCTAGTTTTTGTTATTCAATTCATATTTTCTAGGATTTTTTTTTTTTTTTTTTTTGGTTAATATGAGACAGCTAGAGCTAGATTCTTATAAGGAATATATTGTTAATAAATCCCCAAGTATTTTTTAATTAATTTGAACAAGAGACAAAATCAATTGATGAATAAAAAATGTTGGGAGAAATTTACATTAAAACATATATATATGTAGATTCGAATCCGTGATATTGAGCTGACTTTGATGTATTTCCTTTTGGACATGAATGTGGTCTACCATCCCATCAAAAAGGCTGAATGATCAAGAGGTAACACCCAGGACCATCTCATGAATATTATAATTCTAATTCATGTATTAAGATAAAAGCTAATTGATGCTACGATACTACTCTCAAGTCTCAGGTGGTCCGCCAGATTGTTGCTCAAATGACTATCGAAGCTGAGCTCGGCCATCATATAGTCTCATCTGGGTTGGCCTTCTATTCTTAATTTTTTTTTCGGTTGAATTATTTGATGTGCTCATGATGAGTAAATCTTAATTAACTTTATGTCAACAGTGACAGGGAGCGCAAACTGAGTATTGATTCTCGATTGGAGGTAACACAGCAAATAAACTAATTGCTCTTTCATTAGTTTCATACTATAAACAAAGTAAATTAATCAATCTCGCCGGATTACAGGATATTAAAACTGAGATACGTATTTGCAATTCCGAACTGGAAGAAGTGGAGAGGCAATTACAGTATGGAATATTGAACTTGAGATCTTCATATTTATATGACTCCATTTATGGGGCCAATAAGTTTCCATAGAATAAAACCTGAAAAAAACTTTTGTTTTGTAGGTACTTTGTAAGAAGTCCAGGTTGCATCAAAACAATAAGTGAAGCTCAATGCCATGAGCAGATCTTGGAAGAAACTTTGAAACTTGTCTGTATTCACAAGGTAAAATATATAATAAATCTTCATAACCATCACGAAATTTGTTTATTTGTAAATCATAGAATTGACGCAGCCACTTATGATTATGCAGCAATCTTTTGAAGCAAAGAGGGCTATCCAGCTGACTTACAATTCGGAGGTATGTTCCATTTAATTTATAATTAGGGGACAAAACCTTTGACTTGGTAAGTGATAACGTTTCTACTTGAAATTAGGTTAATATTTTCTTAATCTGAATGTTGATTAAGCTTTTTTTTTTTAATGAACACGCAACCCGATCACAGTAGTAATTGACTAATTGTCATATAATATGCCATTTCTTATGACTTATATAGATTAATTAGAACATTCACAGTCGTTAAAAACAAAAATAGACTGTATTCAGGGGGCTCTTCATCAGAGTGAACACATGCATCCATTCCAGCCATCAAGTTCAAAGTTTGCATATTGTAATAACTAATAAAAACTACCTTTAGGTAATCGAGTGATTCGATAGAGACTCTTGGGTGTATTACTCAAGAAGTAATCCTGAGTTCGAGTCCTTCATCGATTGCTAATAGGGATAGTCACTATAGTTCTTATCCAACCATTACTTCAAGTATCTCGGAGGATTAGTTGAAGTGCACGTAAGCATTCGCCTGGATACCCCAGGTCATAAAGAATAATAATAATAATAAATCCAGTTTTAGGATTTTTTTTTTTTTTCCTTTTTGTGTGTGTGTGTGTTGGGAAAGGCAATTAAAATGCTTAAAACTTTTACCCTTGGCAAATATAAGATTTCTATAGAAGTAAACTATGCTCAATTACACAGTGTAAAATGTAATCATCCAATTTCCCTTCCTGTTGCAAGCAGAAACCTCTGCATCTACAAACTGTCAGTGCCAGAAGTTTGATGATGGGAAATTCAAATTATTGCTTGGACTGGCCTCAGCAACATGATGCACAATTTCTGACTTCAAATTTTGCTAATTCAACTCCATTTCAGTCCTTGAGGTTCGTCCTTCATTGAACAATCTAGTATTATTGTCTTTTTAATTATTTTTGGTCTTACATGCATATATAAAGTTGTATGAACTTAACTTTCATACCTTAATTGTATTATAATTAGAAATCAGTCACAAGCATTGGGGGAAATGCTACATTCCTCATCACCGTATCTTCATGGAAACCGATACCCAGGTGGAAATGCTGTGAGAGGATCGTCTGAGTTAGATGACGATATTCGTCAGTCCGAGTATGGCAAAATTTTCAATTCAGATTTTCCCCTAGGGATGAATAACATTCATCAGGTATGCAAATTTTCTTTTTTTGTTATGATCACATAGATAGACATAAAATATTCGTAATTATTATTATTTATTGTTCATCACCAAAATTGTAACACCTTTAAGGATGAATTAATTAATGATCTAACATTAGAAAATTTAGAAAAATGCTGAGTGGGTAATGCATAAAGGTGAAGATCATGAGACGAAATAATGGATGGTTGCAGATGCAGCAGGGAATGAAGATGGCAGGGCCGAGCAAAGTGGTTGATGGAGGTGTCGGGTACGAGTACCATGGGAGTTGTCCACACCGTGATTTTGGCAATAATATGCCTTTTCCTTATTAATTGATAGTAAAAGAATTCAATGTCCAACAGGAGGGGGACAAAGATGATCATCAACAATAACTTGTATCTTTTACTTTGCCTTGTCTTAGCCGCCTTAACTATTAGATTATTGTGGAAACAATTGCTGTTGCTTCAGCCGCCTCTTTAATTTCTTGGAACTATATATAAATTTGATAATGAGGCACCTAAAGTGTGATTTCTCGAATTCTTTTTATGATCAGTTTCTATGTTCAGATGGTTTTGAACTTTTGAATGTTATGATTAAATTTTGTTGTTAGGGTTTATACTTACATGGTGACATTCAAAGATTTACTTTTAACACTTTAGAATTCACTTTGAGGGACATTAGCGACCTCTACAGGTAAACTTTAGTTTAAGCAAATATTAATTAGGCCACCGTCCTTAAAGAGCTAATTTTGAAAGTCAATTCAGCTAAAAAGCTGATTGAGTTGAGTATCTATTAATTACTTCTTTTATATTACTCTATAGCATGTGACCCTAAGTTCCTATTGGCTTACCGTGATGCAGCAGCAGTAGTCCTGCCGACTGCCAAAGATATTTGCCAATTAAACCAATGGTCACTCCTATTACTGACTGTGAACTCATGTTAAACCCTTTTTACTCTTTTACTATGACTATCTAGTGGAGGTTAACCCCATTAAACCAATTGATGTTTATTTACTGAGTAAAACTTAACTAAATGCTTTATATTGAACGATAGAAGAAAAGTTAAAATTAAAGAGATGCTGTAATGGTGAAGGTGATAGAGAAAGAGTAGGAGCAGGAGTTAAAAAGGGCGACAGATCCAAGACATAGATACCCTTTGAACATATTAAATAAGTTAAAAATGAAGAAGCTTTTCAGTAAATATATAGTCTTTTAACAAAAATAAAATATAATAAAATGAGAGCTACAGAATAAGGCTGCCATAGCCACAGGAAAAAATTCAACCTACCCACATATATATAACGTATGCATCCACCAGCAAGAACCCTCGTGATATGCTTCCAAACAAAAGACTTGAACAGAAACCTAGCAAGGAAAACAGATCAAACCATCCACACCACACAAATTAAAACCTAGTAATAACCAAGGAATATATAGCACGTGCGCAAAAATCCACGCAAATAAAGCCTACAGACAACGAAGAAATACACATTCGCAATATAAAATTTTTTATTTATAGCATCAAAAGTTTTTACAACGATGCCACTACATATGAAGATAAAAAACAAGCTAGAGCTTGTTATTGACATACACACTTTAAAGGTCTCTTTTTCCTTAACTTTAAGAAAGTTAAAAGAAAGAAAAGACATGGAACGATACCAGGATAAGAGACATCCTTTAGACAATTACATCATGCGCACAGAGAGATTATACGAACTTATTACACAAACACAAACCCTTGAAATTTCAAAAGAAGCTAAAGACACTTTTAAAAGCTAAAATCCAACAAACTAATATTAATTAATAGAGAGAGAGAGAGAGAGAGAGAGAGAGAGAGGTAGAGGCTTCCCTGTATCTGTTTGGCCTCACTAATTTAGCTATTAACTTTATTCCTTATCAACAATTCAACATGCAATTAATTATGACGTCGCTCTGGGGTCCAGTGAGGCTCACTCGGGCTGAAATGCACCGAGACTACTCTCGAGTCAAGCAGTTCCATGATGGGAGTGAAACTAACACACCTTGGCACCTTGTACTGGTTAATTGATGCACCCCTTGAAATTGCGTAGTCCATCAACTCCTCAAATGTCCCATTCTTCACTATCCTTATTTCAAGCGGTCCAATCGAGTGGTCCGCGACGCGCCCTTGTCGATATACGGAGTTCAACTTCTCTTCCATTGCTACGCAGCATTTGTTCAATACCTCATCACTTGGTGAATTAGCTGGATCCTTAACGAGTAACTCCCAGTAAATCACATAGTGACCGGGGATTGTGGTTGTGTCAGCAAAACTTGTGTACTCAACAACGCCAGTATTGAACTCCTTCAGAAGTAAGGAAGCATTATCTATGGCGTTTTGTAACTCAGCCTCGTCGGTTTTGTCCGAATCAATGCTCAACAGCACGTTCTTTCTCCTTATGAAACGAAATTGTGGAGCAGAGTTATAAAAACCTGTCACTTTGAGAATGTCACCAACACGGTAACGGCACAAGCCTGCATAGGTTGTGATCACGAGCTCATATTCTTCACCAACTTGAACTTCCGCAAGATCAACAAGGCGAGGAGGTGCGTCGCGAGAAGGAGCTGGAGAGTCAGGTTCGCGTGGCATGAACTCGAAGTAGGCCATGTTTGGCATGATAGTGTAGGAAACCTCAGAGGGTTTGCACATTGGGTTAAGGTTTAACCCAAAGTAGCACTCAGATGAAGCATACATAGTGCAAGCCATTGGCAAACCACCACTATAATATTCAAGCGTGGGAATGTACTGAGCCATAGCTCCTGTGACAATCACGTCGAGATACTTGGTGTTGGGCCAAATTCTGGTAATGATGCGTTCCCAGTTCTCCTTTGAGCACTCTTTGGTGATAAATTCAGCGAGTTCTGGATTTGGTTCTAAGATTTTTCCCATACGGTCTCTGATTGAAGGATCTGTCACCTTAGGGTTTAAGGTTCCTGTAGAGATGTCGAGGACAAGTTCCTTCCAATTCAGTTGAAGGAATCTAATGGCCCTGAGAAGGCCAGAAGCGAACACTGCACCGACTCGAAGAACTTCTTCGCGCATGATAAGACCACAGAGCATCTGGGTGAACATGCTCTGGAAAGAGTCAGGGCAAAGAATGGCCTCGTTGGGACTGGTGTAGACATTGAAAGGGTCATATGGCCTGGTCTTGAAGTGGTCACTCTTGTAGTAGCTTGTGAGCACCGGACGTGCCACGAGCCCACTTGGGGTCCTTGTTTCTGCCTTAATGAACAGAAAGTACAAGCCCTTCCCTCTGTCCAGACCCGGCACGTAACTGTCACATTAAGAACAATATATCAAACTGGGTTTTAATCAAGAACGAATTTTCCATTACACCAAGAAACAAGAGGAACCAAAAATGAAAATGGATTGTCAAGATATCTTGCAAAAAGAAATAATAAAAACCAAAAAAAAAAAAATGTACATAGACTTTCAAGTGGCATGAAATATATTACAATGAAACAGAAAACTAAAAAAGCAAAGGAAAAACTACCCACAGGTTCATAACCGGCATGAGAAGACTGTATAATTTCTGGCGACGATCCAACTCTTCATGAATGGTTGGCATCAGTTTTCTTTCGCCCGCCGATGTCCCAGAACTGCAAATTTCACAATATTACCAACCAAAATGACAAAACAGACAAAAATAATTAAGAGATGACTAACATATTTCTTTCTTTCCTTTTTTTTGTAAGTAACGATTGATACAATTCTCACCTAGTGAGGAACTCAGAAATAGGATGGGAAGACAGTATAGGAGATCGGTCACCATTAGCAATACGTTGGATCACAGGCTGAAGATCCTCATAAGTAACAACAGGAACTCTTGACTTGAAGGTGTCTCGGTCTGTTGCACCTTCAAGTAGAAATTGGCGTAGGTACTCGGTGTCAGCGTTTCGACTGAGTATCTCGCCCAAAACTCTCTCCTGAACGGAGTGACAATTTGTTGTCATCTCTTCAATGAACTGAAGTGCCTTTGAGTCTTGAGCACAAACGGGAGGACCAAGGGGAGCCGAGAGAACAGCCATGATCAAGACTAGAAGAGACAAATTAAGCAAAGAAAAGAAGGAAAGGGAAGAGACAATAGAGAATTTGAGTGTTCTTAGGCGAAAAGGAGGAAATGTTGTGGTTCAAAATTTAACGACAGAAGCAAGATTTATATAGTAAGATTTGCTACATCAATGTGCACGTCATCATTGTCCACGTAGACAGCCGGAGGGGGTATTAGTATTGCAGGTTTTGGAATGAAGCTCATAGGCCGTTCCTGATCATGGCGACATGCCAAATATTTTTGTCTGGGAAAAGCCCTACACCTTGGGCCTACACACGTAAGGTTTGCTACATAAACCCGACATATGGGGTCCACGTGTTTGGCCATGTCAGCAAGGGATTGTTTGGATCTAGTCGTCAGCCGGACCACGCTGCTATTTTCTAGAGAGTCTGTTGATCTGAGATAGCGATGGGAAAGGTGCCGGCTACATTGTGAAGGAAATGGATATTGTGTTGCATCCGAGGAAAAAAAAATAAAATAAAAAATAATGGCCTTAGACTTTGAAAAATCTGACGTAGCTAGGCAGGAATTTTAATATAAACAAGTTGATGGTTTTTATAATTAAAATGATAATTAGAGAATAAATAATGAAATAATAAAGATAATTATGTTGGCAGCAATCACGTGGACATGATTTGATATTTAATTAGGATTGATATGGTTAGAATTTATGTTATGTACTTATTCTTGGTGTCGATGCTCATGGGTGAACAATATTTTATGATGAGGGTTGGTGAGCTTTTGCCTTAGCTTTTACATCATGACAGTTGCTCTACATGAAATGAAATGCCATTGTTTTCTTCACCATCTCTTCGGAATGTTTCTATATTAATAAGATTTTCAATTATATTTTATACTGTCATTGAGATTAACATTGACATTAAAGGAATCCAAAGGATCTTAAAATTAATTTAATGAGATTGCTAGAATATTATTTATCTCATTTGTTTAGCACCGTTAATATTATAATTTATATCTATAATATACAATACAACATTAGGCAGAGATATAGAGAGAGGAAATCTTCTATTATCTTCTCTGTTTATTTGTTTCTTTTTTTGCACCCCCCCTTCTTTAATTTCTTACCCAAAAAGTAGGAATCATCAAGGATGGTCCCGTTGTTGCAATTACTCACCAGTTTCGTTCTCTGAGGAAGTGAAAGTGGGGATGTAGAAAATCTTCGTCAAGAGAGATAGGTTAGTTTCTCTTATATATCGTTATTTTTATTATCCATATCTCTCTGCAAACTTTGTTATTGGAATCAAAGAGACGAAAAACTCTCAAGTGCATTGTTAGGGAGAGCACACCCAACTCTCATATTAATTCATATATAAGGTTCTTCTGTGCAGTGAGAGAATAATGAAAATTCTAAGTTATATGAAATTTCTGAAACAATGAATTTCCTTTCCACCTCACATACCACTGGTATTTTATCTTTAGAGAAAGCAATAAACCATAAAGACGTACTTGGTTGTCTTGACCGAATTGTGATAGTTATTCAGTGTTATTAATACTTTGATTCCAAAAATGGGAGCAAATAATCGTGTACTAACAACAACTTTAAGTGATTATATATAGTTGTCCGCTCATTTTTGGGATGGACGGCAACTTGCTTCATAATAGCTCACCAAAACAGAGCAATGCAGATGGGACCATGATTTCTAGCGATAGAGAATACAGAAGACTTAAGTTGAAATCGGAGATCCATGAGAACCCCACACACACACACTGCTCAATCAAATCTACATCTTTTTTAATGAACTAAACATTTTTGTTCATATTAGATGAAAAAGTTTAAATTAATTCACACGTAATTATATGTTTCACTACTTAGATAGTAATGAAATTCGGTCTAAAATTGATCATAAAATTGAAGATCAGATAAACTTTTCAATGGTCATCTCTATTAGGGTTTGAGAGAATTTAAACTCATGAAACCTGTTTTTATTCTTTTATTATCAAGCAATTGCTTAATTATTTCACTGTTGTCGCAAAAGCTTTTTTAGGTGATCAAGAATTACACAAATAGTGTTTGCCATATACACTTTCATTTCATAAGGATTAATTAAGCGTTTCTTTTTGCTTCCACCCCGCTCCTGCTACAAAGAATAATTATTATACAGTCTCTGAACAAAATCTGAAAATCAAAATTAAGGGAACGACATTACTCATAAACTATACGTCTCGTTTAAACCAAAATTACAGCATGTGAACAATTAATTGTGTCGTACGTCAAAATCTATTCTTTTATTATATGTCTTTAATTATTGTCTATTATACAAATGATGCAGTCTTTATCCAATTCAATTCAACTGGGACCAAGAAAAAGTTATATTGCATGTTCATAATTTTTTTTTTTAATGCACAGACATGCATTTTTTTTTTCACGTAATTAACAAATTAGTCCCTTTCGTTGCGCTTTACACGTGCCATTTTCCAACACCGTGAGCAGCAGACAGCCCTCTTTTTTTTTTTTTTTTTTTTAAAAAAAAAAAAAATGTTTTTGTCTCTCGCTATTTGAATGAAGAACTGTTTTAATTACCTGAGATAAAATATAACAAACGTTATTTTCAGTCATTTCATTCACATATAATTGTGACAAGGCCCTAAGTAAATCTATATACATTATTTACTCGAATAAAACGTGAACCATGAAAACATTTTGTCTCACGAAAACACCATATGCTTGGTTTTCGGATTGAGGGACCTAGAAGTCTAACAGAGAATATTTGAACTAATCAAAGCAAATTAAAACAATCGTTGTATTAAACTAATTAAACAATTAATTCGCCGACAATGCCATTGCTTTTAGTCATTTTTTTGAAACAATTTTAATGGGAAGTGACCTTTCAACTGCTGCCCAAAAGAAAGCCAGGACATTGGCATATGAAAGACCTCAAAGTTAGTAATTTGATTAGGAAGTTAATTACCTTTGAAGCTTCAAAAACTGAATTAAGTATTAATATATATGTATTTCTCTTCTGTTCTGGGTTTGACAAAGGTACATGAATGTCTGATAACTTATTGTCTGGCCTGCTTCTTGTTGCTATATCATGAACATATGACTGAGTAATCTTCCTGATTTTTCACGCAATTGACTCTTCCTCTTCTTCATTTTTTTTTTTTTTTTGTTGGTAGGTCGTCGGAGAGAAGTAGACGGTCAATCTTGATATATTTATTAATTTCTTCGCAAAGACTTTATATCCATTATGCAATTGGTCTGAAGAAACGTTGGTCAGAACACGAGTTTGAATTTTCCTCTTTGCTTGTAAGAATAGAGATCACTAGACATTACTTCTATGTCTAGACGTAAATCTATTTCAACACTGAACAACCAAATACTAGAGCTTACCCACGTTGGCGATTACCAAAATTATTTTAGACAATCAGCACATAAAGTTTGGTACAATTTGAATAAAACAAAATTAAGAATGGCCAAAAAAAAAAAAAAAAGACTTTCTGGTTTCTATTACTACTACATTTTATGTTTCCCTATGAAACTGTTATCTAAAATCATCCCTTATAATCAAACATGACATTTTTAATTTTCAAAAATAGAATTTACTCTTAGATGCTCTTCATTAATGGAAAAATTTACCATGTTCTTTCTTTAGAAATTTTGATTAGCCCTAACGCACTCAATCATGCTTTTAAGCCCTTGTAAACCACATCCACATACATATCCACTGGAATGGGATTCAGAACACGTTTATTCCAGATGTCTCTCCTTTATCGGGTCACCCATACTGTAAATAAAGTGAATCCACTGGAAATTGTACGTTCAATTGAGGAAAACTTTAGCTTAACTAGATGCAACTAATCCATCGTTGTTGCCCATGAAACAAACAAAAACACTTTATTTCAATAGGTATCAGTTTCACGCTAAAAAATTCTCTAATACATGAGCAAAATGGAGGGTGGTCCCAAAGGTTAGGCAGATACAATGGAGAGCAACCTGGGTAGTTGGTTTCTTAATGTTTCACAAAAACTGATCTTAAAGAGTTACAGTCGTACAAGTTTGGTCACTCCAGTCCTTACCTAGCTAGTGATCGATGAAGCTGCAAACTTGAAGATGATCTCTTCTTAAAATCACGCGTTGGATAATTAAGTGGAAGGGTCACAATCAGATTATCTTATTGTTTGGATAATTTATAAAGAAATTAGTTGTGTAATAATTGAGGTGGAGAAACGAGAAAAGAAAGCGAAAGTTGGTAATTCAGTAATATTTTTGTTATGTCTAAAAAATATAAGGCAGAAGTAAGATCATGGGTGTACCCACAGCTTGCTTTCATTAGAATAATGGGTGCACGTCAGGCCAGTCAGAAGCTGTAATGATCCCATGTATTCAATCCCTGCTCTAAATCGCGTAAATTACTCTGGAAGGTGGACAATGTGATATAAAGAATGATTTGCACGAATAATCCCACCAACTTACAGATTAAATGATCATTACCTCAATGCATCCCACTATAAATTGAGAGCTACTCCCTCATTAAGGGGATTCGCATATTTTGACATTTGATTAGCTACTCTCTCTAGGATTTTCAGCATTGATACCTTGTAATACCATTGTAAAGTCAGTCCGCTAAAAGCGACCTGACCCTTATCATCAATATAAGCATCAGTGGACGTAGGACTTGTTATCTTAGCATTCGAACCACTTTAAAAACTCATTCCCATTGCATTTACTGTCATTTTTCTTTACATTCACGTGTGTCTTTTGGGTCAGCTCAACATTTCACACGTGTATTTCGTTGGTGTAAAAATCACCCATAAACAATTTTAAATCTACTTTGAATTCTGCAGCTATAAAGAAATTCTGTTCTTCCGAAATTTAATTACATCCATGCACGGCTAAAACACAAACACAGACGTTATGGCGTTATTAATGTTTTAAGTACATAAGATGATAAATTGTAAAGAATGGACGCTGATAATGTAGAGTTTGTTTGGTCTTCTAATGATTTCTATCACTATCCCTGCAAGCTGCTATCATGGATACGCACATGCGTTCACCTCTCTGGCATACACTTCCTCTTTCTTTTTCTCGTGTACCCTTTTTATC